CCCCGCCGAGCTCTTTCCCACCTACAGCACCGTCGAGTACTCTCTCCTCCCTCCCTCTCCCCCTCCCCCCGCCTTCCTCTTCCTCCTCGACCTCTCCACCCCCGACCACCAGCTCCTCCCCCTCAAGAACCACCTCCTCCACCTCCTCCACCACCTCCCCGACCACGCCCTCGTCTCCCTCCTCACCTTCGACTCCTTCGTCTACCTCCACCGCCTCCGCTACTCCCACTTCTCCTCCCTTCTCCTCTTCCACGGCCACCGCCACCTCTCCTCCACCCAGATCCGCCACTTCCTCGGACAATCCCCCAAACACTCCTTCCTCCTCCCTATCTCCGAATGCCAATTCACCATCACCTCCGCTATCGAAGAGATCCGCTCCACTTCCACCTCCGCCTCCCCCTCCCAAACTCGCCCCCCGCGCTGCACCGGCGCTGCAATCTCCGTCGCCCTCGGCCTCCTCGAATCTTGCCAAATCTCCACCGGCTCCAGAATCATGCTCTTCACCTCCGGCCCCGCCACTCTCGGTCCCGGAATCGTCGTCGATTCTGATCTCCGCCAACCTATCCGAACCCACCACCACATCTTCAACGCCCAAGCTACGCACCACGCCAAGTCCTGCGCCTTCTATAACCAAGTCTCCAAGAGGCTCTCCGACGCTTCTGTTGTCCTCGATCTCTTCGCCTCTTCCCTCGACCAACTCGGGGCCGCCGAGCTACGCCAACCCGTGGAACGCTCCGGCGGATTCATGATCCTCTCCGACTCCTTCGATTCCGAGCAGTTCAAGAAATGTCTCAGGCATATATTCAAGTGCGACGACCACGGCCATTTGGAGATGAATTTCGATGCCACTATTGAAATTGTCACCACCCGAGATGTCAAAATCTCCGGAGCGCTTGGTCCCTGCGTGTCTCTTCAGAGAAAGAATGGTTTGGTGAGTGAGACTGAGGTTGGAGAAGGTGGCACCTCTGTGTGGAAGTTAAACACAGTCACCAACAAAACCTGCATTGCCTTCTTCTTCCAAGTGAATTATGAGCACAAAATTCAACCTGGCTCTGCGTTTTTGATTCAGTTTATAACGCGATACAGGCAGGGGAACTTGGGATACCGGAAAAGAGTTACCACTGCTGCAAGGCGATGGGTTGCGAACCATTCCGCCGATATTGCCGCCGGCTTTGATCAAGAAGCCGCCGCTGCGGTTATGGCCAGACTCGCCATTCTCCGGGCAGAGACTTGCCATGCCCGTGATGTCATTCGATGGCTGGATGACACACTTATTAGTTTTGCTTCCAAGTTTGGGGACTATGTGCCGGAAGATGCATCTTCTTTCCGCCTATCATCAAACTTTTCCCTTTATCCCCAGTTTATGTTCCACTTGAGGAGATCTCAATTCATTGATGTTTGCAACACTACTCCCGATGAAACTGCATTTTTCAGGCTGGTGCTGAACC